ATATATATATATATATAGAAAAAGTACTTTCTCAACTACCTATAGGCAAAAAATGAACAGTGATTTCACCTACCCTCATCACCGTCTAAAGTCCATCCCACGGTCACGATTGTTTGGTAGTGTTTAATTTTTTATTTTTTTTATAAATCAGAATGATTTCAAATTGGAATGTGTGTTCATAAAAAATAGACGAATCTATGAAAAATATCAAAACAAGTATTTTATGTGAAAAAAATTAACTAAAATACCCCTAAAATGTTTCGGGGGTATTTTGATCAATTTATTTTTTGAGAATTATTATTTTTACATATTTTTATTAGGTGCGTCTCACTATGATGTACATAATCTCCAAATTTCAAGTAATTCCAATTTGTAGAAAAAAAAATGAAAATTAATATATAGGAAGATACTACAAAACGCTTTTAGGCGAAAATGAACAGTGATTTTGCCTATCCTCATCACCATCTAAAGTTCATCGTATGATCACAATTGTCTGGTAGTATTTTATTTTTTATTCTATCAATCGGAATGATATGAAATTTGGAATGTGTGTACATCTTAATGAGTCGCACCTAATAAAAATATGAAAAAAATATTTCGTAAAATATAAATTGACCAAAATACCTCCGAAGTTTTCAGAAGTATAAGGCTTTTGAAAAATCTAAGATTTTCAAAGGTGAAGGTGAGAATCAACTCAAAGTGATATGGATGGAGACTACGAGTCTAATGAATTCACAAAATTTTATGAAGATAGTGAAATAATTCACCAAGTTACTACTCCATATACCCCTCAACAAAATGGTTTAGCAGAAAAATAAGATAAAATATTAGATAATTCCATGTTAATAAACTTAGATTTATCTTTAAACTTATGAGGTGAAGCACACTTTCAGCGTATATAATACTAAATAAAATTCCACGTAAGAAAGTTAATAGAACGCCATATGAGTTATGGTTTAATAACAAGTCTTCATTAAATTTTATCAAAGTATGGGGATGTCTAACATATGTAAGATTCGTTAAGCTTAAAATAAATAAACTTGGACCTAGAACCTCTTGGTGTGTATGTGTAGGATATGATGAAAGTAGTAAAGTACATAGGTTCTTAGAAGTTAGTCCAAATACAATAATAAAGTCTCAAGATACATAACTATTTGAGAATTTAACACATAAAAAAGAACCTGAAAATACTAATGTTCTACCAACTAGTGGAGAACAAAGTGAAGATCAAATTACTTATATTGAACCCATAAAAAAATAATGAAAGGTAAGATTACCAAGGAGTAAAAAAGTAAGATGAGATCATAAATATAATTTAGACGTAGATTTTATAAATTACCTATTTGAAGCAAGTCAAAATAAAGTGCTAAATACAATACCTATTGTTTTAAATGAAGCTTTGACATCTCATGATGCAACATTTTGAAAAGAGGTCATTAACAATGAAAATGGGCACTATACTTTCTAATAAAACTTGGAAATTGGTGGACCTACCACATGGTTCTAAACTTATGGGTTGTAACTGGACTTTTAAAAGAAACTAATGTAGATGAATCAATTAATAAATATAAGGCTAGATTGTTAGCCAATGAATTTAAACAAAAAGAATGCTAGATTATTTGATACATATGCCTATTATACAATTTTAGCAATAGCCTCTACTGGCCATCTAATAATTTACCAAATGGATATAAAAACTGTATTTTTAAACATTGAACAAGATAAAAAAAATTTATGTGGAACAACTCAAGGGTTTATGCATGGTCATGACAATAAGGTTTGTAAATTAATAACGTCTCTTTATGGACTAAAGCAGATGCCGAAGCAATGACACAAGAAATTTGATTCTATATTTATATGGACTTGAGAGAGAGCTTCCAGAGTGGTTATTAACTTGAAAGTCCACCATTTTTATTTGATTTCACATAAATTTACCCACTAAATATTTCACCATCCAAATTTCCAACATAAAAACGAACCAATGGATTTTCATTAAGAGAGAATGGATATAAAGCCATGGAAAAGGCAGAAAATACCCCAAATTTGATCTTGATATTTAAGAGTTTTTCAATGCTGATTCCTTCAAATTTCATTATAGTTATTATTGGCCAATGAAAGACAAATAATCCGTGACAAATTGAATCAAATTTTTGAAAAGAACGAGAGATAAATATTTAAGTCTTTGGTACAACATTTTAAAAGCCGATGATCACGTTCAGGAATAGCCAATCCATATCGAGAATCGTCGGGTTCGAACCAATTATGTAGAGATATCGGTCTTGATCCTATCCTTCCCAGACCCGACTTGTCATCTTTCTTTTTTTTTTTTTTTTTTTTAAGCTTAGCTCATTTGATGTTTTTTGAGTTTCCTAGATCCCCGTCGCATAAACTCCTACTTCAATTTTAATTTTAATTTTTAATAATTTTTAGAACGTCCATTCAAATTGATCTAAATTATCGATCCAATTATTTGACATAAATATATGGAATAGACGATCCACCCTGAATATCTACCTCTCAAAATATCGATCTCAGTTCTATGGCCAACCCACCTTACTCTCAATACGTTTATATAAAATGTCAATCCTATTATACAATTAAGGTGTATAAAAAAAAATCCATAGGAGAAGGTTTTTTTCATCCTGTAAAGCCCTCAAATCGATCATCTTGATCTTGAGATTCACAGATATGAAAAAAAAGATGATTTTTAATCCTAAAAATAATTCATCTTATAACATTTTATCTGGATCGTCCATTTTCAATATCTTCAAACGTTCATAACTCTTTTTGGTCGTCACCATATTTAGAACTTCCAATTCTACAATAGGGAGCAGCAATAAAATTTCATAACTTTACAATGTGAAAATGTTAATATAATTTTGACGTCCACCGTGCTTCAAAAGTACAAGGTTGAGAACCTATACAAACTTCACCCTAAGTGCATAAAACGTTATTACAAAAACAAATAACAAATTTACAGCTGAGCAAGAACGATAGGTATATCCACAAAGATTCCTTCATTTAAATAGAAATCCATTGACGTCACCATTCGTCGTTTCTGGAATTGTGGGGTTTCCTTCTGTGCTTCTGCAAGTCCCACCCACCATCCGCACACAATACTTCTCTCTCTCTCTCTCTTCCCAATATCTTCTTTGTAGCTAAACCTTGCAACTCTCTCTCTCTCTCTCTTCAGATATTGGCGCTGAGGATTCTCATCTTTTTTGCCTCTCTTCTCCTTTGACTCTGTAGTCTCTTCAGTCCATGGCAGAACCCATGGGTTCTGCTTCTCTCGCTATCGCAAAACTTGAGGCAGATCCAGACCCCAATGACCAGTCCACTGCTCTCCTCCAACCCTCCTTTGCAACTCGGGTCTTCACTTCCAGACAAAGGGCCTGTTCTGCCCTCGTCTTCATTGTCATGCTCATAATCACCTGCGTATCCACGGCTTCCGCAATTGCCTTTGCCTTCCTTCTCTTTCGAGGCCCCAACAGTGGCTCCCTTCGCCTTGAACGGGCCAGGCCTATTCAAAATCCAACTGTAATTCTGGTTTCCTCGGATGGGTTTCGATTTGGATACCAGTTCAAAACCCAAACGCCTAACATCGATAGGCTCACCGCTAATGGGACTGAAGCGGAAGCTGGTATGATCCCTGTTTTCCCGACTCTCACGTTTCCAAACCATTATTCCATTGTTACCGGCCTCTATCCTTGTTCGCATGGGATCATAAGCAATGGTTTTCCATATGGTAATGATACTTTCACCATGAAGAGCCATGAACCTAAGTGGTGGCTTGGTGAGCCCCTGTGGGAGACTGTAACAAAGAATGGGTTGAAAGCTGCTACTTATTTCTGGCCTGGTTCAGAAGTGAAGAAGGGGAATTGGGATTGCCCGCCTTCTCTCTGTAAAAAATATGATGGGTCGATCCCGTTTGAAGAGAGAGTTGACACTGTGTTGAGCTACTTTGATCTTCCTGTTTCAGACAGGCCTGTGTTCATGACTCTCTATTTTGAGGACCCCGACCACCAGGGCCACAAGGTTGGGCCTGATGATCCGGAGATCACAGAGGCCATTTCGATGATCGATAAGATGATGGGTAGATTGATACAAGGTCTAGAGAGGAAAGGGGTTTTCGAGGATGTCACTATTTTAATGGTTGGAGATCATGGAATGGTGGGCACTTGTGATAAGAAGCTAATTTTTCTTGAGGATTTGGCACCTTGGATTGAGATACCACATGATTGGGTTCAGTCTTATAGTCCTTTGCTTTCGATCAGGCCTCCTCATGGAATCTCGCCATCTGAAGTTGTTGCTAAAATGAGAGAGGGATTGAGTTCAGGGAAAGTTAAAAATGGGATGTATTTGAAGGTTTACTTGAAAGAGGATCTGCCTGAAAGGTTGCACTATTCTTACAGTGATAGGATCCCCCCAATTGTCGGGTTAATTGAGGAAGCATACAAGGTGGAGCAGAAGACTTCGAAGCGACAGGAATGTGGGGGTGCACATGGTTATGACAATGAGTTCTTCTCAATGAGGACTATTTTCATTGGCCATGGCCCTCAATTTGCGAAGAGTAGAAAGGTCCCCTCTTTCATGAATGTAGAGTTATACAATACCGTCACCTCCATCCTTAAGATACAAGGAGCTCCCAACAATGGAACTCCATCTTTTCCGAGTACCATTCTTCTTCCCGGCACCTGGAGTTGAATAATGTTATTTTATAACACGAAGTCGCATGGGATTGAACAATGAATTTTATAACATGAAGTTATGAACAAGGGTGACCATCCTTGACACTATTTGAGAGATTATTGCATCTTAGAGAAATCGACTCATGTGGGGAGTGGTTTTCTTTAAGCGACTACTGATGTACTAGGATCTGTGCTTTTATCGGTATCACATATCTTCTGATATTTATCAGAGCTTAAGGGTCTTTTCAGCTTTAGAATTAAAGTTATTGTGTTGAAGGGTATTTCGAGAATGTTGGAACTCATGGGGGAAGAATATAAGTACATAATTCTTGAAGTCTCAAACAGGTGATGTATTTGTCTTCTCCTTTCCTCAATTAAATGGTAATTTCTCTTGCTTTCTCTCTAGACCATTGTTTTCAATCTCGACATGTCATTCTCTTGGTAGCTATGTGCTTAACATGTTTACCATTTTTCCCCTTCTTGTTTGTGTGTTTGTAGAAGGATCAATTGTTCCCTGGTTCCTTGAGAAATGTAGCTCAGACTAGGAGAAAGTGGACATGTACTAGATGTCATGGTACTGTTTTCCCACGCTAATGTAGCATATTTTATGATGACTGTAATGTAGAAAACGATAGTAAAAAAAAGAAAATACAAATAAAAGATGTATAAATAATGGTTGGATAAATCATTTTATTCTATTTAAATTGAAAGCGAAAAATGTACAGAGATAATTATCGGATCACCTTGCATTCTTGCCACCAAATTCCAGACTATCAACCACAAAATCCTAGATGCACCTTCCTCCATTCAGATTGCACCAATTGTTGAGACTACCTTTCTAAAAATGTGATATATTGGAGTAAGTATTGCTACATGTAGATGTTCAATTTAGTGAACCTGTCAAAACATTATTGAATTTCATGTATTCAAATACTCAAATATGGTGTTGCAGTTTCCTCCAAATTGCTTGTTCCTTGTACAACTTAAGCAGTCCTTCAAGACATGGATCTCTTACCCCAATGCATTAACATATAACCTCCATTGCCATATTGCATATATTCTCATGAGTGAAATTGATATGATAATGACAGACTCATCAGAATAGGCTCTAGTTGTTTATCTGCTGAGCTCATACATGGCTTGCATTCATATATTCCATCTTTTTGCAACCAAATTCCAAGAAAAGAGAGTATTTTTTTCATTCTGAATAGAATGTAGTTCATATGGTTCTCCATGCTTTTGTCATTCGCTTCTTTTAAGTGCTATCACTTGCTTCTCCTGATTTGAATCTATCATTAATACCAGCTTAACCAAAGTTGCTTGCTTCGCTTATTGATTTTTCTTCATTTTGTACACATTAACCTTTAATTAGATGTTTGGTTTGACAGTGTTAATGGATCTGAAACTCAAAAGCATTGGAAATCATTTGTCAAAGTTTCACATCAACATTACTTTTATCACACAATATTCTTTGCAGGAGAGCAAAATATGGCTTTGTAAGCTCCTAGTTTGCCAGCAGATATTTATGAAGAACCTTTTCACTAGTATTTATAGAAAATCATATTTTCGATCAAAATCATTTATTACCACCATTTCACTCTGAGGATGTCTCCATTATTGTCTTTGATTTGCTTCAACAGTTCAACATTGTTTTACAAGACATAGCAGCATGTTGTGTCTTTTGCTGGAATACTTAGAGTGGATTCCATATCTTCCTTGAGGATTTATTCGTTCTTGCCATTTCTTTAAAACTTCACATCAGTCTGGTTTATTTGCAATCCCTTCATGATGTTGTGTTTCTTTTTCAGTAGCTTGGTTAATAATAAATGTGAATGCTACACACTCTGAATAAAAGAGCTACTCAACTCAATTTGAAGCCCCCACTCTAGCCATCACCCATTATTATGTCCCATTTTTCCCACAGTTACAAAAGAAAAAACCATATTTGCAGAAGATACATCAATTTGCATCCTTGGTAAAATTCTGGGAGTATGTTGTACCTTGAATCTGTTTACTTTAGGCAAGGAACACCATGTATCCTCTATCTGAGATTAACTTTACTCAGGAGGCCCTTCATTTGATAACATTGTGGAGATGATTGAATAATTGGGGGACGGAGAGGGCGCAGTCTCCTGTGGTCATCAGGAACCTCGAAGGAAGAGTTTCAACCTTAGGGATAGCATTGAACTGCATTTGATATGCTTTAGTGTCATGTGATGCTGGACTGATTTCAAATTCTCATTGTTGGATAGCATTGTCAGTGGCAACAACTCATTGACGTTATCATCTAGGCTTATCTTCCATGTGATCTATGCCTTCTCTCTTGTTGAATAGATAACAGTTTTCTTTTGCCTTTTAATTTTTTTTATTTTTTTTCTTTTCAAATGGGATATTCAAATTGTGTCAATAAAGATAGTGTATTTCAATTTTGGCCAGTTCCACAGGGCTATAAATATGCATGGAAACATATCAAGTGCATGGTAATTGACCACTAATTGAAACCAGGTCACTCTGTGATGACTCAACTTCCGCATCATTGCCTCTTTGAATATGGCAAAACCATATTTTTCTGCCTCATGTCAAACTACAATGCTTTCATCCATGATATCTGCAATCCTCTACTGGTTTTCCATCAAGCGATGCAATCACTTCTATGATTAGTCCTGAGCAGTGTGAAGAATCATGTTTTTGCTTTCTTTGGAGTCTGACATCTCAATTGGATCATCAAAGTCCTCACCCTCCTTTGAGCTTTGTGACATTTTTCTGCTGATTGGTGAGACGCTTCATCTTGAACTGAGAATTTTTGGAATCTCATTTCTTGACACTATTTACTCAACTAAAAAAGAATATTCAACATGTTGAAAGTTGTATATCCGATAGAGATCTTGGTTACTCAACATTCAACATCTTGAAATCCACAATTTCAGCCAAATCAAGGCTAACTGAGTAAACTAGGAATAAGAAAAATAAACTAAACTCAACCACGTAAAGAAATACAATGAAATGGTCCCTCGAAGGCTGGGAAAACTCACAAAGGACAACTACATGGTGCAGTGGGACTTTATCATCTCACACTAAAAAGCTTTCCAAGAATGTGGCAAAAATTCGAGGATGAGATGACAACTTACTCAAAAGGGGAATCTGATACATAGCATCAGGGTGGTGATATCATCTGCCAGATGAGAGAGAGAGAGGTCATAGATTTAGGCAATTTGGAGGCTATATAGAATTAATTAATATTAGGCATACTACAAGGTTATTGTGGGTATTTGACTTTCTTAGATATTTTATGTGCAGGTTTAGGAAATATGGGAAAGTTGTTATGGTCCCAAGCATTTTATTACTATTTTGGAAAGAAGAGGGTATATCTCAATTGCATTAGGTGTCTTTTCTGGATAAGAGTAGGATTAATGTGATAAACTTAATATTCTTTATGGATGGAGAAAGTTTAATTCAAATAGGATTCTTTCCAAGGTACATATAGAAATAATTGTTTTCTTCTCTTATGTAAAGAGAATTTGATAATGAAAAGTTTTAAGGAAATAGCCTTGGTTCACCCTTTTTCCCAAAGTTTATTTCCCTTCGCTATTGCTCTTTTATTTTTGTGGAGATTTGTCCTACATCAACTTTTGGGAGGGGTGGCCTGTCCTTCGCTATTATGATGGTCGTCATATACTTCACTATACATATTAAATTTATACATTAGCTATATGTACTATGGGCCCTCACAAATTAATACAACTGGTGGGTTCCCTGAAAAATTCCCTATTACCCTAGCCAAAAATAAAGGTGTATGTATGCAACAATCTTCACTAGTTCAATATTATGTTCTTTGGGCCTTTGTATGTGAACTGAGGTTATTCATGGACTTCTTAGGCAATGTGGTGGTTGAGAAAATAGTCGTTCAGAAGGGGAGTACCTTGATAAAATAGAAGAAGGCATAATATTTATCAGGTGGATAGCTGTGTGAATTGCTTCGCAGCTTCGGCCCATAAAGACTATGGAACAAAGCCAGACAAAAGAAGAGCCCTTGTGGTCTCTAAAATATGATGATTTTTACTTTTAGCAATACCATTCTATTCAGAAGTATCATGGTAGGATTTTTTATCTTGAATGTGTATATATATATATATATATATATATAAATAGGGCAATGATTTCATGCAACCGTTGTATAGTAATATGATGCAACAACCTTAAAAAACCATCTTATGGCCATTTGTTTGATCCAAATTTTGAAATATACGCTCTTTTCATTCTATTGAACAATCACAAAAAAGAAAAAATTGAAAACACAACCTAGAAAGTATTTTTTTAGCCCAATTAGCATAGGCCGTTCATTTTGGTGAGATGCTTAGAGCTCGGCTTTAGAAGGATTTTTTCATTTCCAATTTTTTGGATGGCTTTATTATCATTAGTTGAACAATGTTAAAAGAGAAAAAAATGATTTTGAATTTATAAAGGCTAAGATCTTGAAATTCACAAAATGAATGTTTTAGATTCGTTTTGGAGGGGACTCATTTTTACCATATCTAGGGTTCAAATTGAACTTTTTTTTTTTGGGGGATTGATTATTGAGATGAAGAGAGTGTGTGTGCAAAATTTGGAAATTTTACTAGGAGTGTGGTTGCATCATACTATGATACAATCGAAGCATTGAATCATTGCCCATATATATATATATATATATATATATATATTACAAGAAGTGTGGATGCATTATACTATGATACAACCGATACATGGGCAATGATCCAATGCATCGGTTGTATCATAGTATAATACAACCACACTTTTAGTAAACCATGTTTGTGGTATTTGTATGATCTCAAATTTTGCACACACACACTCTCTTCATCTCAATAATCAATCTCAAAAAAGAAAAAGTTCGATTTGAACCCTAGATATGGTCAAAATGAGTCCCCCTCCAACAACGAATCTAGACCATTCATTTGGTGAATCTTAAGATCTTAGCCTTTACAAACTCAAAATCATTTTTTTTTTCTTTAACATTGTTCATTTAATGATAATAAGGCCATCTAAAATATTTGAAAAAGAAAAAATCCTTCTAAGGTCTAGATCTAAGCATCTTATCAAAATGGACGGCCTATGTTAATTTGGGCTTAAAAAATACTTTCGAGGTTCTGATTGTTCATTAAAATGAAAAGAGTGCATATTTAAAATTTGGATCAAACAAATGATCTTAACATAGTTTTTGAAGATTGTTACATTATACTATGATACAACCGTTGGATGAAATATAATATATAGAAGATACTGCAAAACGCATATAGGAGAAAATGAACAGTGATTTCGTCTACCTTTATCACCGTCCAAAGTTCATCGCACGGTCACGATTGTCCAGTAGTATTTTATTTTTTATTTTTTCTACAAATTGGAATGACCTGAAATTTGGAGTGTGTGTTCATCAAAAATAGACGAATCTACGAAAAAATATCAAAAAAATATTTTACATGAAAACAATTGACCAAAATACCCCCAAAAAGTTTTGGGGGTATTTTGGTCAATTTATTTTTTCTCAAATTATTTGTTTTATATTTTTATTAGGTGCGCTTCACTAAGATGTACACACATTCCAACTTTCAG